ATTTGTATTTGATTTCAATTTTCTCAAATCAGAGAAAGAGAATTCTTGTATTGTTTTTATAAAGTGATATGCAGAGGGTTACAGTCATATAGGTCAGATAATGAGCATATTTCTTTTTGAGCAGTGTCACTCCTTCCTTTGTGAGAAAGGGAATTTTTTAAGCAGCCAAATTGTCTGTACTTGGGTTTTTACAAAACTGCTTCTATACGTATACCTTTTATGTAGTTGAGTTTTTCAAGTCTTCTTTTGTACAATTGGTAAAAATGTTAAGTGTAATGAGGCTACCTTAAAGAAGCAGAGGAAATAGAATCAGACATAATTTCTAAGACAGCTGCTTCAAAACAATTTCCACTAAATTTTACTAGATTGGAATGCTTTCTGGTTCTTGGAGAAGTAGCTTCAGGGAACATCACGGATATTGATGTCTGATTCTAACTCAGTGATCTGCCAAGAAATAAATGAGTTTATCATTTCTTGAAGTCAGCATTGGCACAGTTCCATGAACGATTCCAAAGTATTCAGGACATCTAGTTAATAGTCAGAATATAATGCTAAACAATGTTTAAAAGTAATAGATATTTTATTTTATAAGCTAAGGAAATATTGTAGACTTTCCAATACATTAGCTCTTTAGGCTATTAACATTTTGCTTTAATTATTCACTATTATCTTCATACTCACAAGGCCTTTGGCAAAGTTCCTTAGAACTAAGTTTTTTTTTTAATTTATTTTGTCCTTTTGGTACAGGCTCAAGAATGTTAGTCATGTGCTTATGAAATTGCAGAACACTTTTGAGTCAGGATGATGAGAGCACAAAAAGAGCCAGGTTAATGAGTTAATGCTGATTTTAGTGGTGTGTTTGTGATTTCCCATCAATAGGGATTGATTGAGGTTGACTGATCTAATTTAGCATTCTGTGATATCTATTCACTGTCAGGAAAGTCTACCTACTTTATGCACTTAGCCATCTTGAAGTTGAAAGATCATAGAAGCTAGTTTCAGGACAGTTTTATCTGGATTAGAGATATGCTTCAACATGAAGAGAATATTTTCATGAAAGACATAGAAATAATTACACACACACACACACACACACACACACACACACACACACACACACACACACCACACACACACACACACCTTATTAGATCTTCAAGGTCAATATGGCCTAAATAAAATTACCTTAAAAAGAAACTCAATCTTTGAGATTTCTCCATGTTTTTCCTATTTCTCCCTTAATCTGTAATTCTTCCTGAATAACATTCACACATTTTCTATATTTACAATTACCATAATTGTATTTAATTGTTATTCTCTATTTATTTGGCTTTCATCTTTTATTTGAGGGATTTTTTTTGGCATTAAGTTTGAGACTTGACTAGAGTCTGTTAATTCTAACAGTCCCTAGGAACTGAAAACCTAGCAATAGCTATTACATGCTATATACTAGGAAATAACTTTTTTTGGGGGGGGGTCCGGTGGGGGGCCTGAACTCTGGGCCTGGGCACTGTCCCTCTGCTCTTCAGCTCAAGGCTAGTGCTCTACCACTTGAGCCACAGTGCCTCTTCTGGTTTTTTTCTTATGTGGTGCTGAGGAATCGAACCCAGGGCCTCAGGCATGCAAGGCAAGCGCTCTACCACTGAGCCACCTTCCCAGCCCCTAGGAAATAACTTTTGCACAAACAAATACCATCTTGATGGAAAATGTAAAGAATTAAAAGAAGCCAGGTGCCAGGTGCTGGTGGTTCATGTCTGTAATCCTAGCTACTCAGGAGGCTGAGATCTGAGGACTGTGGTTCAAAGCTCTCTCTTAGATTCAATTAACCATCCATTAGCTCCATTAACCATATGTTTTCAGGTAATTTTCTTATATCATAACACAATAAAATTTCCAAATCTCACTAATTTCTGACTAGATATAGAAATATTTCTGGTCCTATAAATTGATTGCTATATATTTATGATGTAGATACCATCTAGATTTGTTAATGGTATGAAAAGACAAGCAGTTTGGTGAGAATGGCAGTTCACTTACTGGCTGAGCTATAACTGACATGGGAATCTTTTGTGGAATACTTTGAATAAAGAGAGCCTAAAAAACTGCTCTTGTGGTTTGAGAAGGTGGCTCAGTGGTAGAGTGCTTGCCTTCCATGCATGAGGCCCTGGGTTCGACTCCTCAGCACCACATAAACAGAAAAAGCCGGAAGTGGTGCTGTGGCTCAAGTGCTAGAGCGCTAGCCTTGAGCTGAAGAGCTGAGGGACAGCACCCAGGCCCAGAGTTCAGGCCCCAAAACCAGAAAAAAAAAAAAAAAAAAAACTGCTCTTGTATTTACCAACACAACTCTCATTATAATACATCCACAAATGTAATAGGAAAACGTATAAATGAGTCATGACCAGTTGAAATTCACTTTTTCCCACCATAGTCCACTTATTATGTTAAAGATGAAATCATATTTTTTAGCATTTAATAACATTTCACCTTAGGAAGATCACATACAAATGAGAGGAACCTCTAGCAAGTAGATCAAAGTGGAACTTTACAGTAATAATTTAGTGAACATAAGTAAAGCCAGAAAAATCGAATTTTCAAATTGTTTGGCTAAGGTTGTGAGGGTCAACAGGAAGTAAAGAAAAGAAAAGAATCTAACTAGGTCAAATAGTGTCCTCTAGCCCTCACTTGCAAATCCCACTGAAGCCAATGGAAGTTTATGAAAATGTCTGAAAGATGCATTTGGCCTAGTTCAAAGCCCCATTAAATAGTATTTTAATACATTGTCCTAGTTAATTGCTGTCTTTATGATCTTTTTAGCGTTTCACCTAGGGGTCATTCAGAGATTCCTTAGAAATCATAGACAAAAGGATGGTTTAACAAGGAATATTTGACCTCTTGTTTATTTCAAACGTAGGTTGACTTTCTAATTTCCCCCACTCCATTGTGCAAAGAAATAAATTTATGGATTCCAGGTGACCTTTTGCTTTTAATGCCCATAAAGTTGGAAGTATGGACAGATATAAAATATATTAATTCTGAGCTGGGTGCTAGTGGCTCACATCTGTAATCCTAGCTACTCAGGAGGCTGAGATCTGAGGATTGCGGTTCAAAGCCAGCTGGGCAGGAAAGTCTGTGAGACTGATCTCTGGAAGTGGTGCTGTGGCTCAAGTGGTAGAGTGCTAGCCTTGAGCTGAAGAGCTGAGGGACAACGTCCAGGCCCATTCAAGTGCCACGATGACCACCACCACCAACAACAAAAAACATAACTCTGATATATATTAAATTGTTTATACAATTAATAAACAGAATTTGCAGTTACAAGTATTGTTATAAATTTTATATCATTCATCCCATAATGGTCATTGTAGCTTTTTGTTTCCTTATGATTCAAAGGGGAACTAAAGTAACCTTTTCCTTCCTGGCATCCACATTTTTCAGTCTCTATTTTGGCTTGGTTACTGATTAGGGACTCTTGTTAGTGGTAACAGGTTTCATTTCTAGGATTTCAGGAATAAAGTATCACTTCTTGGCCTTTCAAAGTTCAAGCAATTTGGTTTCTTTACAGATTGTAAGTGCCCACACCAGGTTCAGACTTGTGTTTGTCAAAGGTAATAAGGATGATTCAGGGAGCCTGTGCTATGAGGAGAGCCAAGAGATAGAAAGTTCATCAGGAGCCTTAAATAGGAAGAATAATTTGGACCATAGACCATGGAGCTAGACTGAACTTACATCCCTGTTCTATCAGTTGCCAGCTCTGTAATGTTAGTGACTTTGTTTAAGCTCTTGGAGTTTTGATTACCCCATCTTTATCTTTTAAAAAATGAGCACTATAACAAGGATTTGTGAGAATTTAAGAGAGACTGTGCTTGGACATACCGCAGTGAAACAGCAATGAATAAATGCTAGTAAGGGTTATACTGTAATGGGGAATAAGAGAGTTTTTTGCAGCTTGGCTCTTATTGTTTTATACATATTAAGTACCATTACTCAGACTGATCTCTTTGCTCAGCCCCTTCCCCATTATTTCCTATTGAAATGACTATTTCCTATTGAAATAGCTTCCCAGGGAGTTGTAAGGGGGCCCAATAGGAGACTCGGCAGGTAAAATTCTAGCAGCTCCACCTTGGTAACAGGAAGAGGAGTCCTTCTCTTGGTTTTGCCGCTTGAGGGGTTTTTGTGCCTCTCTGGAGCAGGGCCCAGCTGCAGGCAGAAAAGAGACTGTGGCCAGTGGGCCCTTCACCTGCTAATGCTGGGCTGGGCGGGGAGCTGGCAGGTTACACAAGGCCAATCAAGCCAGATGGCTTGTAGCCACAGCGCCGGGTGGCTTCTGTTTCCTCCGGAGACACTCCCTTGGGGTTGCTTTCAGTCTAGAACTGAGGAGAGATCTTAGGAATTTGGCAAAAATGTATTAAATCAGATTTCTTGCTTGTGTAGACGCGGTGTTAGCTCATGATGACGCCATCGGAAGACGTCTCTGACGTCAAGGGCTTGTTTGGCTCATCCAAGCAACTACGTAACTCGGTAGGGCGTGCTGCATCCCGAGGCAGCACAGGTCCAGGCGAGCATGCCGGAGATCCACGAACGCGGACCTCAGGGACGCTGGCCCTCGGCCGAGCGTGGTGAAGGGGCGTTATTTTAGATAGTCACATTTACGTTTTTATGTCTCATTTAAGACGATTTTGCACAAGGTACAAACGAAGACAATTCTGGCTTTTAAGGGGAACAGATCCGACTATGGTGTAGGCATCAAATCAGTCCGTGAAGCACCGCTTCAATTGCCTTAACACTAGCACGACACGGGCATCTTTCCCAGGAAAGCAGGCTTGCGCTTTTCGAGGTCTCCTACCCAGGGAAGGAACCAAATCCCCAAAGACAGGCCAGGAGGCGACCCGCCTCTTCTGCGCGCCGCACACGTGTCTTCTGGCCCCGCCCCCGGCCCCGCCCCATCCCGATCCTGCCAAGTCAACCAACGCTCGCGAGAGCCCAGTCGGCTTCCACGTTTGCCACGTTCCAAAAAAACCGAGGCACACTGGAAAGCTGAAAGCCGCTCACGCTCCCCAGCAGCTGCGTCGCGCCAGAACGGCCCCGGGACTGCAGAGAGAGGGGGCGGGAAGCACGAAAGGGAACCGCCCTTTTGTTCAGACGTTGGCGATTGGCTCGTATCCACTGTCACTCAGCCTTCGTGGGTGGAGCGAGGCCGGGCAGGGGCGTGGCTGAGGGGCTGGTGAGCCGCGCGTTCTCGCAGGCAAAGAGAGACAGAGAGAGAGAGAGTCACAGGCTGGGCGCACGCGTGGGCTGGGCGCGCGCAGCCGGCACGCGGGGAAAGTCCTGGGAGGCGCGGCGACCCGTGTGATCCGTGTCGGGCCATCCGCGCTACTGCAGGAGCCGAGCGCGGCCCAAAGCCTCCCCAGCATCTGCGGCTGTTGTCGCCGGAGCACCGAGGAAGCCCCTTGGCGCCTCTCCAGTCCGGGTGGAGTGCGTGATGGCCCCTCGCAAGAACGCCAAAGGCGGCGGCGGCAACAGCAGCAGCAGCGGCGGCGGCTCCTCGGGCAGCAGCAGCACGGGCAGCAGCGGTGGCAGTAGTAGCTCTGGAGCTCGGAGAGGTCAGAATGCTTGCAGGCCGGGGTCCGGGCCGGGAGCGGGGTCCCCGGGAGCCGCGGGCGCTGCGGGGGCTCCTCGCCAGCTCCCGCCGCGCCTCCCGCAGCCCCTGCCTCGCTGACGCGTCACGGAGGCCTGGCTGGCGGGGCTGGGCGCTCGGGAGGGCGGGCGCCGTGCGGTCCGCCCCGTCGCCAGCCCCTGCGGGGCTCCTGGAGGTGGCGGGGCCGCTCACCTGCGGGGCGCCGCCGAGATCCGGGCTTTCCGTGGCAGTGGAGATGGGGGTTAGAGAACGATTGATCTTGGCCTCTCGTGTTTTGCGGGAGCTTGGGAATGAGCCGAAGTCGGGGAAAGTAAGTTCTTGCTTGGCCAGCAGCGTTTAGGAGCTGCTCGAAGGATGGGGTTAGGGAGGGTGGGGGGGGGGTGGGGGGGGGTTGAGAGTGATTCACATGCTTTTGGAGGCTATTTTAAATAGGTTTGTATAGTTCTCTTAATCTGTCTTTTAAATACCAAGGACTACCCTGCAACACTAGGCGGGTTTTTCTATTCTTCCTCTCTTTTAATTTCCTTAAAGGAAAATCGACTGGGTATTCACCTTTCTCCTCCTCCATGTGCTTCCCCAGCAGAGAACAGATGTTTTAAATCTGTTTCGTCTCCTATTACCGTGGCCCTCGGTTTCTTTCTTTTTCATTTGACTCACATTTAGGGTATTGGAACTGGAATACACATGTGTACCAAATGTGAGACACATTTCACATGAAATGATTCACAGTCTGCGCTAGGATCAGCATGCAGACCATTGATATGTATCAAGAAAAAAAATCAGAAAACTTATGATTTTATTTTAAAAACACTTTCTTTTGTAGCTCTTATGGCCTTATTTATTTTCATGTGAATTGCCTTTGTTTTATTGTCTCCTCTTGGTCATTCCGATCTATTATTGGTTTGTTATTCCCAACTCTTTGAATGGTCCTCACCTATAATAGGTGCTCAATAAATATTTGGTTAGAGATTGAAACAAACGTTAGTAGCAAAAGTTGTACAGTTAAACCCACTGCACACATTTACATTCTGAGAACCAATATTTGTCTTCTAAATGGAAAGAGGTATACAGTTCGAAGTTCAGAGCCTGAATTAGTTAATTCACCTTGGACGTAAGTAAAAATTGTATTCTTGTTTCCTTGTCATTAAATGTCTGTTAAAACATGCAGTGGATGTAGAAAGCAGACCCTGGTGGTTGGGGCTACACTTATTTTTTCTTAAACATTTCTAAATGACAAGGACCTTTGGAGAAAGCTTTCTGTAACTATTTGTAAATGAAGCTTGCCTCTCTCCTGTTATTCCCCTATTTTCCTTCCCTGTGTACCTCCTTTTCCTCTTTTCACCTTCCCTGTCCCTGTCCCAGATCCTGTCTTTTCCCGGTATTCAGCCCTTCATCGTTCCACTTTGTCCTTGGGATTCTTGAGTACAGCATTGATTGCATCTGAGAAAGTAGCTTTGTCAGACCTGTTAATGGTAAGAAACATATTCCCCAACCCTACCCAAGAACTAAACCATAGAGAACATGTTAAGACCTCAATTAATCTTTTTTTTTTTGCCAGTACTGGGACTTGAACTAAGGCTTAGACTCTTATCTTTTAGGGTTTTTTTTTCTTTTCTTTTCAAGCTTTCGGTGGTTAATTGTAGATAAATGTCTCATGGACTTTCCTGCCTTGACTGGCTTTTAATTGGCATTCTCAGTTCGCAAAGTCCTGAGTAGTTGCAGGAATGAACCACCAGCTCCCTGACTCAATTAAGTTATTCTGACTCTCATAGTCGGGCCTTTAAGAGTAAATTCTCTTTGAGTAATCATTTTACACAATTATTGACTTCATAATTGTCATGACACAACATGTAAAAGAAGGTCTGTAAAAGAGGGAAATTTCTTGTGTTATAAAACTAAAAAAAATTAAACAAGTGGGGTGCCAGTGGTTCATGCCTATAATCTTAGCTGCTCAGGAGGCTGAGAAATGAGGATTGCAGTTTGAAGCCTGCCCTGGCAAAAAAAATTCTTACCTCTAAGTAACCACCCAAATTCCAAAAGTGGAGCTTAGGCTCTAGTGGTAGTGTACCAGCCTTGATCAAAAAAGCTAAAGGAGGGCTGGGAAGGGGCTCAGTGGTAGAGTGCTTGCCTTACATGCATGAGGCCTTGGGTTCGATTCCTTCCATGACTAACAACAACAAAAAAAGACTAAAGGACAGTACCCAGGCTCTGATTTGAAGCTCTATTACTGGCACAAACCAACTCCCCAAATTCAGTAGTATTGAAGACATATGCATTATAGTAGTTGATATTTTTTTTTGCAGCATTTTCTTTTTGTTGTTGTTCTTCAGTGAACTTTGGATTGTGACTGTGCATCATAGCCGAAGAGATTTTTTTTTTTTTTTTTTCCTGTCTGTCATGGGGCCTGAACTCTGGGCCTGGGCTCTGTCCTTGAGCTCTTCAGCTCAAGACTATTGCTCTACCACTTGAGCATAGAGCCACTTCTGGCTTTTTCTACTTATGTGGTGCTGAGGAATTGAACCCAGGACCTCGTGCATGCAAGGCAAGCACTCTACCACTGAACCACCTTCCCAGCCCCAAAGCTGAAGAATTTTTAGCCGACATTACCAGGAAACCTATTTAGTCCCTTGTTCAAAACAAGTTGTAGATGAGAACCTAATGCCCAGAAATGTTGTGAACCCAGTATATTACAAGAACAAAAACCAGAATCCAGGTTTTTCTGTTAGTCATTCCTTATTTCATACTACTTGAGTTTTAGATTTTCTTTCTTTCTTTCTTTCTTTTGCCAGTCCTGGAGTTTGAACTCAGGTTCTGGGCTGTCCCTGAGCTTCTTTTGCTAAAGGCTAGCGCTCTACCACTTGAGCCACAGCACAACTTCGGGTTTTTCTGTGTATGTGGTACTGAGGAATCAAATCCTGGGCTTCATGCATGCTAGGCAAGCACTTTACCACTGAGCCACATTCCCAGCCCTAGATTTTTTTGTTTCTTTTCTTTCTCTTCTCTCTCCTTCTCCCTTCCTTCTCTCTCTCTCTTTTTCTCATCAGTTGTGGGACTTGAATTCAGGGCCTGGGTGTTATTGAGCTCTTCTTGTTCGTGGCTAGTACTGTACCACTTTGGGCCACTTGCAGATTTCTGGTGGTTAATTGGAGATAAGAATCTCACATACTTCTTGCCCAGCCTGGCTTCAAACCGCCAACCTCAGATATCAGCATCCTGAGTAGCTAAGATTACAGGCACGAACCACCAGTGCCCTGCTGAGTTTCAGATTTTCTAATATCTATATTTATGCCTATCTATCTGTCTATCTATCTATCTATCATCTATGGGAATTGGAAGTTGCTGCTTATCAAGTTGTCTTCTGACTGGCTCCATGGCAAACTACTATGTTTTTGTCTTTTCACTAATTAAGTTTCCTTTGCCTGAAATTATATTGGAACAATGCATTTGAAGAATTATAGTTTGAAAAGAGTATAAGAGCTCACATACTGCTGGACACGATTTTGCATTGAGAGTTCAATATTAATAGTGATGTTGGGTATATGGAACACTTTCTCAGATTTTTGTATAAAACTATGAAATAAAAAGGACCTAGTTTTCTATGGGTCACGGTTCAAAGCCAGCCTGGGCAGGAAAAGTCGTGAAACTGTTATTTCCAATAAACCACCAGAAAACGGGAAGTGGCTGGGCTCAAGTAGAGTGCTAGCCTTGAGTTGAAGAGCTGAGGGACAGCTCTCAGCCCAGAGTTCAAGCCCCATGACTGACAACAACAACAACAAAAAATAAAATAAAAAAGGACCTAGTTTTTTGAAGCATGAGTTTTACAGAAGGAAAAAAAATTAAAGTAGGTGTTTCCTCATTGTCTTTTTTTTTCTTCTCTTCATTGTCTTAAACTGATTGAAATAAAAGTAGAGTTTTTCTTGTTTTTCTTTCTTTCTTTTTTTTTTTTTTTCCGAAGAGAATTACCACTGTTCCTTCACTGGAAGTTTATTTTAGTATTTCTTGCTAGCAAGTTCCTGCAACTGTTTACTACCTGTGACCAGTAGGTGCCACTGTAGAGCGTTTTTAAAAAATCTTCCGATTTACAGAGTGTAGAAAAGCAATTATGTTTAGTTATTTGTTTATTTACTTGTTTATTTAGTGCTGATACTGGGGCTTGAGCTCAAGCTTGAATGCTGTCTCTTAGCTTTTATGCCATTCTACTGCTTGAGACACAGCTCTACTTATGGCATTATGGTAGGGACTTTTGGATTTTGCTGCCTTAGCTCTCTTCCAACCGGATCTTAAGATAAGATCTCAGCCTCCTGAGATTTTAGGGGATTATAGTCATGAGCAACCAGCATATGACAGCAATTAGATTTTAAAATTACTATTAATATTTAATCATTCTGTATTTTCCCCAAACTATTGATGGAAAATGTCTGATCTCTACCAGTGTTGAATTCTCTTAATGTCTGGTACAGATTTTGAAATGTAATGGTAAGAGTTTGTCTTGATAAGGCTTACTTTAAAATTAAATAAATTTGTTCTGTTAGGGTAGAGAAATTCACAACTTTGATGGATTTTGGTTAATTGTAAAAACAAAAAAAAATTCTGAGTGGTTATTCTTCTGTTTTTCCTTTCAGTGTGTCTTAGATTACTAAGTGACTAACATGCAATATGTGCTGCTGATTACATTCTTGCTCTTTTGAATTTCTAGTGAAATTCCTCTTTTTTATCAAGAGACTATCAATTAGGGCCAGTTGCTAGATCCTCCACTAGCCATTCTAAGATGAAAGATAGGAAGACTTTTAATTTGTGTGCCTCAAGAAATTCACAGCTTTTTGCTTGAGTGCCATTTAAAGTGCAGTAGAGCTCTTTGCCACTTTTCTTCCATCTTTTAAAAAATGGAGTATTTGAGCTTACTCTTGGGGCCCTGCACTTTCAAGGCAGGCTTTGTACCACTTGACCTATTCCACCTGCCTTTTA